CCCCCCCCCCCCCCCCCCCCCCCCCCCCCGCCCCAGTCTCGGCACTCAGCGGTCATGGGCACGCACATGGGAAACCAGCCCACCTCAGCAGGCTAACACTGAAGAGAGGTGATGAAACACATGGATTTACTCTTATACTTCCACACAATATCGTCCACTACTACACGCACCCATCCATGTCCATTATGTGCTAAAAGCCTTTCAATGTATGTCCCCCTCTCAGCCAAGAAGCTGCACCAGGAGGCCAAACTGTAGATCAACAGACGATCGTCATGTTTGAGAGAAAGTAAGTCATCTTTTTTTATTAAAAGCCCTGTGTGTGCATCTGTTCCTTTTATTCCCACAACCTCCTAACGAGGCTTTTGCAGCAACTACAATAGGTCAGACGTATATTTGTTACCATTTTTCTTCACAACTGCGGTAAACAGATCCCCTTAAAGGCTTTTTTTTATTTTTTTTAACAATATTAGGAGTGTATATTAGTCGTCTTCTCATGCTACAACATGGTGTCTTTGTTTGTGCTTAAGGTCCACTGAGAATGACTCCCCATGGGACAGGTGGACATCACCCACTGTCTATACTCTCACTACCACTACAGGAGAAGAGGAGGAGGAGGAGGAGGAGGAGGAGGAGGAGGAGGAGGAGGAGGAGGAAGAGGAAGAGGAGGAGGAAGAAGAAGAGGAAGAAGAAGAGGAGGAGAAGGAAAGGTATCTCCATGGTGGCCGGGCTCATTAAATGCATATTAAACCACTTTATTTTTCACAATTCCAGCAGGAAGTCATTACAGCATCTTAAAATTCGAGGCCCGTCAACCATTTAATTGAAAGCAAGCTAAATGCAAGTTAAAACTTCTTCACAGCTTAGTCTGAGAATAATCAACTCCTTTTCAACTTGTTCTTTTTTACTTCTTCACCTGTCCTGCCAGACTTTTTTATAATACAGGATTGTCTTCTGTTTTGCAGCACAGGGTATACACAGACGAAGACAGTCACAACCGTCACCACTATCAGGTTTGAATGATTGATTTGATTCTTAAAACTCACTTCTTATGATGAAAAACTGTGGAATTAAGAAGGAATTGACCGCGTGAGAAGCATTTGGGTGATGTTTGCAACAACAATGCATGGGAAGGAGAGGGCTCAGAATGAGGCAATGCTGCAGTACAATAGAAAGGAGACCACACCTGGTAAATAAATCCAGCAGAGAAAGAAAGATCAGCCTTGTACATCTTTAAAAACTGCACAGTTCTTGCTCACTGGATTGAGTCCGGCTTGTTGACTCCTACAGCCTACACTTTCAGTCTAATAGAGTTTCTTTACTTTCCAGGGACGTACACAGTGACCGACAGCCCGCTATGGATCGGTAAGTTTATGATCTTAATGTCAGACACATCATAATGCAAAGATACTTTCTCCAGAGTGTTGTTTTCTACTTTTCGGTCTGCTGATTTTCTTGCTATTGGAAGGACAGTCTCCTTCAACTGGAGCTTTTTGTCTTTTGTTTTAAGCAAGGATGTGGTACTGCATAGAAATTAAATGTATTTAAAAACACCAACCATCTAATATTTAGGCCATCTGGGCTTGTTTTTACACTTTCACCACCTTTTCTCTGTGTTTGCAAGTTAGGGAGTGAGGAATTTAGGCCGAACCCTGTGGGAATGCAGCTGTATCTGCTTAATACTGCAGTCTGGATCTTATGCTACCTGCAATTCCTGCATGATTCCTGCTTAGACAGACGCCTGACTATTACTGATGTTAGATGACAAGATCGGCTCTCCCATTGTCTTTCAATTTGCCCTCATTTCCTTCCCTCTAATCATCAGTCTCCAGATGTCAGATTAATGATGTGTATTAGGGATGTCCTTTTGTCAAATCACAGCCCGTTAAACAGCACGCCATTAACAAGCGATGGCAGAAAATGATTACCTCCTGAGTTACATTTGACAGATGTAGAGTCCTTCTGTACAACCCATCACCCTGCTGTTGTCAGTGAGTGAAAGATGAGGCTTACGCTGCTTGCACTCTGTCTCCAGTTATGAAACCTATACCAGGACCGAGACAGAAGAAGACCAGCGTGTCCAAACACCAGAACCTGAGGCCAAAAAGTGAGTGATTTAAATGAAAGTGACAGCTAATATTTTAACTATGCATATTAACTCAATCTTTCTTTCATCTGCCCACTGCTCAAGGGGTTTCGTGTACGTGAAGGAGTATGTCAATGCAACAGAGCTGTCCTTGCATAATGCCAGAGACAACATCGATAGGTAGGAACAATGCACGATTGTTTACACAATCAAATAACGATATTGATTGAGAACAAAATACGGCTCGACAAACCTTTCAGTACTGCTCTCACGATGACTTTACTAACTGCTCCTTTTTCCATAGTGGGTCAGATTATTTGACATCCAGCTCCACCAGTTACTCTTACAGCAGCCCCTCCACTTACTCCAGGTAATAACACAATTCCCTAAAAGGATTATTATACCTGCATTCAGCTGCTTTCATCTCTTTCTCTTTACATGACGATTCAACTGCTTTCACCAATTACACATCAACTGACAGTTTGACTCCTTTTAATGCTTACACTTCGACACACACTTCAAACATTTTTAGATCTTCACCTTTTAGAAAAAAGAACTTCAGCTCTTCTAACTTCCACAGCCGCTCTTGTTTATACACAAGTTACTTAAACTGCTCTCAGTTACACTTCAGTCGACACTTCTCGCACTGACACTTCCAGCTCCTCTAAGCATTTTCACTTCAACCTAAAAACTGAACTAAACTTTACTCTTCAGCGCCAACACTTTTCTGCTTTAGCACTTCTATTTTAAAGTGTCATTTCAATTACTTTCAATAGTTTTATTGTGACTGCCACATCAGCTATTTTCAGTTTGTATTGTGACTGCCAGTTCAACTTTAGCTATTTCAAATGATTCAAATGCAAATTCTCAGTGGGGAGAACACACATTTTCTTCAGATTTTTTTCTTTTCTCGTTGCTCTTGTTTCTGTAGTGAGTGAGATTATTTGACATTTCTCTTACGCAGCTCCTCCACTTACTCCTGGTAACAACACAATTCCCTAACCTGCTTTAAACCAGCCATAAGCCCCTTCTCCCCCTGCCTTGTTATTTCCAGTTCTGCCGGAACTAGATATGTGTAAGCAGTAGGGCAAAAATTCCAACAAGTCAGCTCATTAGGAGGCAAAGCGGGGACATCAAAGGATTATTTACACTTATTAAGTTCCCTCGCACGGGACAGAAAGGGTCGCGGGTTATTTTTCCAGACAGATCTGCAGTTGCATGAGAGCTGCTTGAGTCGTGGCCAAAGTAACTTGTCTCCATCGCTGTGTCTCCCCAGTGGCCATCTGTCATCCACCTGTAACTTCTGCGGAGAGACGGTGGGTAATGATGCCAAGATCACCATCGAGCACCTCAATATCAACTGTCACCCCCGCTGCTTCAAGGTAGTTCATCCGTCTGCTCCTATGAAGATGCAATTTGGTATTTATTGGACTATTAAAAAGCCCTTGAAGGGTCTGACCTGGAGGAAGTGAGCTTTTGTTCTCCTTAAAAAAATAGTTTGACATTTTGGTAAATGTGTTTATTTGCTTTTTGTAGAGAGTTAGAGGAAAACATTGAGACTACTCTCTAATGTCCGGAGAGTTAATGTGATGTTACAGACGGCAGCCAGTTATAGCTTTAGTCAGTGTAAACACTATCCACTGTTCAAGAATCCACCTACCAGCAGCGCCAATGCTTCATAAAAGCGTGAATATAACATGTTTGCTGTCATCTTTCCTCTCTTTATGCTAAGCTACGCTAACCAGCTGCTGGCTGTAGCGTCATATGACAGACAGGAGCGTGGTGTCGATCTTATCTATTTCTTGGCAAAACAGCCAATAAGTGCATTTCCCAAAACTACTCCTGTAATATAATAATATAACTTAAATTTGCTCCTTAATACTTTTTTACTAGTACTACATTAATACTCTACAAGTCTTGAATACAAATTATATTTAGCTATTGCATATTGCCAGTGTATGAATCAAGGGTTGAACCAGTTTATTGTGTATTATGGAGCAGTAAATTAGTATGAGATAATGTCAAGGATAAAAACACTGCTCTTCACTGCCTTTTCTCACGAGTACATTTTCTTTTACGTTCTCCCAATGTTTCAGTGTGGTGTGTGTCGTAAGCCGATGGGAGACCTTCTCGACGGTATGTTCCTACATGGGGGGAAAGTCCACTGCGAAGCCTGCTACAACAAAGCCTTGGACTGATTACCGAAGCCCTTCTGCAGCCTCTTAACATCGTACCCTTGCCTTCATGTTCATTTGCATATAAAGTGGGAACTCGCATCTTTCTCATAGTTTGGACTGTTTGGTTTGAAGTCAAGAATAATGTGGTTTAGGGTGATCATAAAGGTTGTAATAGTGAACAATATGACTATTTAATGTTGATTCTTACTTTAGGTTAAAACGTCCTCAAATATGTTATACAAGCTTGTGTTTTTTTTTCCCCCGGTGGTGGAAGCTGTATCTGCCTAAACTATGAAGGATATGTATTGTGAACAGACTAATACTGGCTAGTGGGCAACAATAAATTTAGCCACAGTTGTGCAAAAAATGACTTTGTTACAAAATGTTTACTTCTTTTTCTCTTCTTGATACAAAATGTGTTTACATGTATGATGCTTTGTTAAAAAAAATAAAATGATTTATATAATCCCGTTATAAACATGTGATGCAAACTCAGTGTGCCAGCAGACACACAGGACTGTCATGGAGTCTCAAGCAGTTCAATGTTTTAGAAAAGCATTTTTTAAAACTATTGCACATAAATGTCTTATCTTAGCATCATGTGACAAACAGTTCGGGCCATGTTGTAAAGTAACCGCCAAAGAAATTCATTAGATGAGATGTTCCTGAGCAAAAGCAGTGGTGAATTCCCAAAGGGGAGTTGGGCTTAACTTTGCCTTTCTCCACTTCTTGGTGAAATA